CCCGGTTGGCCTTTGTTGTTGTTTAGTCGTTTCATCGTGTCCGCCTCTTTGTGACCCCCTGGACCAGAGCATGCCAGGCCCTCCTGTCTTCCACTGCCTCCCGCAATTTGGTCAAACTCATGCTGGTAGCTTCGAGAACACTGTCCCACCATCTTGTCCTCTGTCATCCCCTTCTCCTTGGGCCCTCCATCTTTCCCAACATCAGGGTCTTTTCCAGGGAGTCTTCTCTTCTCCTGAGGTGGCCAAAGTCTTGGAGCCTCAGCTTCAGGATCTGTCCTTCCCGTGAGCACTCAAGGCTGATTTCCTTCAGAATGGAGAGGTTTGATCTTCTTGCAGTCCATGGGACTCTCAGGAGTCTCCTCCAGACCAGAATTCAAAAGCATCAATTCTTTGGCGATCAGCCTTCTTTATGGTCCAGCTCTCACTTCCATACATCACGACTTGGAAAACCATAGCTTTGACTATATGGACCTTTGTTGGCAAGGTGATGTCTCTACTTCTTAAGATGCTGTCTAGGTTTGTCATTGCTTTCCTCCCAAGAAGCAGGCGTCTTTTAATTTTGTGACTGCTGTCACCATCTGCAGTGATCATGGAGCCCAAGAATGTAAAATCTCTCACTGCCTCCATTTCTTCCCCTTCTATTTGCCAGGAGGTGATGGGACCAGTGGCCATGATCTTCGTTCTTTTGATGTTGAGCTTCAGACCATATTTTGCACTCTCCTCTTTCACCCTCATTAAAAGGTTCTTTAATTCCTCCTCACTTTCTGCCATCAAGGTTGTGTCATCTGCATATCTGAGGTTGTTGATATTTCTTCCGGCAATCTTAATTCCGGTTGGTCTAGGCTGGCTTAGAACTTCTCTTCCTTTCTCTCCCCAAGCCAAGAACTTATTTCTCCCATGAATTAATTCTCTCCCGGCAGCCTGTCTTGCAAGGTGCCAAGGGGAAGACCAAGACAAATGAACGAGTTTCAGAACTGTTTATGCTTTCCGTTTAGACACGGCCCATGAATGGTACTAAAACTCTGGTAAACCGCAGCAAGGAAAGGCACAGCCTCCTCTATCGAGAGTGCCCGAGATTTGCACATTTGCTTCAGTTGTGTGTTTTTTTGATACCTTTTCCACGTTCCGCATTTCTTTTCCGGATTTTCCAGGCCCAATCTTCTGCCACGGTGTCCTCGAAGCAGGTTAGTTAATTGGACCGCGCTGAAGTGAACTGGCATATCTGAGACAGCTGCGGGGTTCTTGCAAGTAGGCTTGGCTGAGAGGGAGGCGGTCTGGAAGGCTAAAGGGTTTCCCTCCACCCTCCTCATATATTCTGCACTGAACCTGGGTTTTTAATTTGAGGAAGGTGGCATGTGGCCGTATCCTGTTTGGGACTGGCGGGAGCCCTGCCGTTCCAGCACCAGCCTGTGTCTCCTTTGTTCCCTGCCCTTTAGAGCTTGGCAGGAGAGTGCCAGGGAATTGTGTTAGGGAGGAAGGGGGTCTCCATGACCTTCAGCTGCAGGGAGAGGGATTAAGACCTCAGAAAGGTCAGCATTAATTTTTCAGGAGCCCTTCTTATTAATTAATTGGAGAACTAACACTTCTGCAGAGCTAAGCTGGGGATAAATGCCTTGGGGCGGGGGCCACGTCCCAGTCTGTCCCCCCCCCCCAGTTTCCCTGGAAACCAGCACCCAGCCCTGCAAATGCAGCATCTCAGGTCTTCTGCACTCTGCACGCGTCCCAAACACTTGCAGGGAAAAGGCAGGGCGAGCCCTTGAAAACAGCCCAGAATTTTACTGAATACATTAAAGAAGTACAGTGGTACCTCAGGTTACATACGCTTCAGGTTACATACGCTTCAGGTTACAGACTCCGCTAACCCAGAAATAGTGCTTCAGGTTAAGAACTTTGCTTCAGGATGAGAACAGAAATTGGGCTCCGGCAGCAGCAGGAGGCCCCATTAGCTAAAGTGGTGCTTCAGGTTAAGAACAGTTTCAGGTTAAGAACGGACCTCCAGAACAAATTAAGTACTTAACCCGAGGTACCACTGTACATTTGTCTCTTCCACAAGTTTGGCATAAGTGACATCTAATTGGCTGATTTTTTTTTCTTGACGTAATATAGAGGTTTTATTATGGGTACTCTTTGGGGTCAGGTGCTGTGCCAAACCTCCTCCTCTCTCGCTTTTACAACGGCTTTCTTTCCACTTTTACCTGCCTGTTATCTCATCACAAATATCCGGATAACCTGCTTTATCAGTTCTTCCGGCGAATGTAACATCCCATGCCAGCCTTTGGCTTGGATCGGTCTAGTTGTTTTATACGTTTGTGTATTTTGTTGCTTAGGTCATAGGGATAAAATTCAACACAAATACAGTGGTACCTCGGGTTAAGTACTTAATTCGTTCCAGAGGTCCGTACTTAACCTGAAACTGTTCTTAACCTGAAGCACCACTTTAGCTAATGGGGCCTCCTGCTGCTGCCAGAGCACGATTTCTGTTCTCATCTTGAAGCAAAGTTCTTAACCTGAAGCACTATCTCTGGGTTAGCGGAGTTTGTAACCTGAAGCGTATGTAACCCGAGGTACCACTGTACTTTCAGAAAAGGGAAAAGGAAACAGCCCAGAAGTTTCCACTGGTTCAGAATATATCTGTGGGCTTCCAGATGACGCACTCAAAACTGGTTGCCTGTTTCACCAGTTGAGTACTTGGCTACCCGGCTCAATCCCAAACAGCGTTGCTCTTTGAAGACCTAAAGCACCTTGCAAGCAGTTCCTTGAGAACTGCCTCCCATGAACCTGCCCAGTTCTGTTTTTGAGGGCCTCCTTGAGGGGGATGTTTTCCAGGTGTGGTGCTTGATGTTGAAAACAGCAGCCCCAAAGCGGAGCATGCCTGGCCTCATGTTTAGACATAAAAAACCGAAAGTAAACAAAGAAGAAGAAAAATGACTTCCATTTCTCCGTCTCTCCACTTCAAAAACTTGTGCAAAATTCTTACTCCAGCCAGCTCTTTTGCTTTCCAACCTTTTTTCCCCCCCCCCAGTCTTCAGACCCAGATATCACAAGGTGATTTTCCTTTTTGCGCAGAAAGCCCATAAGGGGTTTCCAATCGTTGATAAACGTCAACAGTGATTTTTCTCTAGTTTAGCACGTCAGTTGTGCGGTCCTAGCCAAATCCATTCATTTCAATAGCCGTTCTTCCATAATAGGTAATAAGAAGTCCTTCCATCTTTGTGCATATAACAGTCTCGGCGTTGTGATCGTATATCGCAATAATCTTCCATAATCTTTCCCCCTGGATAGTTGGCGACTGTGAGAACAGAATGCTGGACTAGATTGGAAATATCAGTTTGATCCAGCGGCTTGTCTTATCTTAATAAGGATTTGATTGCCCCTACATAGACTTTAAGGGACGCGGGTGATGCTGTGGGTTAAACCACAGAGCCTAGGACTTGCCGATCAGAAGGTCAGCGGTTCGAATCCCCGTGACGGGGTGAGCGCCCGTTGCTCGGTCTCTGCTCCTGCCAACCTAGCAGTTCGAAAGCACATCAAAGTGCAAGTAGATAAATAGGTACCGCTCCAGCGGGAAGGTAAACGGCGTTTCTGTGCGCTGCTCTGGTTCGCCAGAAGCGGCTTAGTCCTGCTGGCCACATGACCCGGAAGCTGTACGCCGGCTCCCTCGGCCAGTAAAGCGAGATGAGCGCCGCAACCCCAGAGTCGGCCACAACTGGACCTAATGGTCAGGGGTCCCTTTACCTTTACCTTACTTAGTCTTTGCTCTCACATTTTAGATGTCTGTGCATTTTTTGCAGGAGGCAAAAGATGCGCCCCAGCTGGGGAGCTTCCGACACCCTCACAAACACACCTTAAATGGTGCCTGTGGCCCATCTACCTTTGTGAAATTGCTGTGACATACTTGGGTTTTGGACATCCCCCTCTGTTTAAAGTCCGAAGTTTTAGGCTGCATCTTTAGGATGTTGTTTCCTGCTCTCATCTCCCTGAGTCAGACAGCATGGCTCCCCATCCACTTTCGAGATTTCTACTGAGGAGTGTGGTGCTGCAGGCACAGCCTCTCTCTGCAGATGGTCTCTCCTTCCCAGAACCGCTAAGCCGAGGGGCGAGGTTTGGGGAGGGTTTGGCTGCTTGCCTGGGCGAAACAGTCGAGCGCTGCTTTGATTCCTGGCAGCGGATGAAGCTTTTGGCCACCGATCTGGGTGGGGAAGGCAGAGGCGCCCTCAGAAGAGAAGAGAATCGCAGACCTGTCGAGTTGGAAGGGAACCCCAAGGGTCATCTAGTCCAACCCCCTGCAGCGTTGCAGGAATCACAGCTAAAGAGGTGGCCAGCCCAGTTCTGTTGAAGAATCTCAAATAATCATAATCATCACCATAATAAATTTTATTTATACCCCGCCCTCCCCAGCCAGAGCCAGGCTCAGGGTGGATAACACCAATAAAATCACAGTAAAAACATAACAGGGGGAAAAGGAAAAGGGCAAAAAAACCAATTTAAAATGCAGCCTCATTTTAAAAGTAGCCGATAAATCAAGACCATAAGGAGAGGGAAGCATAAGGGTGAGACTGAGTCCAAACCAAAGGCCAGGTGGAACAGCTCTGTCTTGCAGACCCTGCAGAAAGATGTCAAGTCCCACAGGGCCCTAGTCTCTTGTGACAGAGTGTTCCACCAAGTCGGGGCCAATACTGAAAAGGCCCTGGCCCTAGTTGAGACCAATCTAACCACCTTGCGACCTGGGACCTCCAAAATGTTGTCATTTGTGGACCTTAAGGTCCTCCCTGGGACATACCAGGAGAGGCGGTCCCGTAGGTACGAGGGTCCTAGGCCACATAGGGCCTTAAAGGTCAAAACCAGCACCTTAAACCTGACCCTGTACTCCACCGGGAGCCAGTGCAGCTGGTATAGAACTGGATGAATGTGATCCCGCGGCGAGGACCCCGTAAGGAGTCTCGCTGCGGCATTCTGCACCCGCTGGAGTTTCTAGGTCGGCTTCAAGGGCAGCCCCGCGTAGAGCAAGTTACAATAATCAAGCCTGGAGGTGACCGTCGCGTGGATCACTGTGGCCAGATCAGGGCGAGAGATGGAGGAGAGCCCACTGTCTTCCAAGGCAGCCTGTTCCACAGTTGAGCAGCTCTTAATGTCGGAAAGTACTATCTGTGAGTTAGCAGTTTCCAGCAAAAACAAGGAAAAGAGACTTGGGACTCCTTAAAAGACTTAGAATCACAGAATTGCAAGAATATGCAGCTGTCCCATACAGGAATCGAACCTGCAACCTTGGCGTCATCAGCGCCAGGCTCCAGCCAACGATCCTGGAAGGAGTCTTCTGTGGCTTAGGGAAATTTATGCCATAGCAAACGTGTTACAGCCTCGAAGACGTCACAAAACTCTCATGTGCTCCTGTATTTATTGCACCCTTTTCTCCAGGAAGCTCATGGTCCCCCCCCCCTTGTTTAATAACACAACAACCCTGTGAGGTAGGTTGGCTGAGTGGCAGGAACCCAAGGCTCTCCATGGCCAAGTGGGGATTCAAAGCCTGGTCCCCAGGTCTTGGCCCGACACTCTAACCGCTGCACCACACTGCCTCTGTGTTAATACCGCTGGGGGGGAAACACCGCAACAGCCCTGTCAAAGCCCTCCTGCCACCCAGCCACTAACTAAGGGCCTACCTCTTGACCTCCTGACGACGACTCTGTTCCACCGGCCAACTTTTTCTGCCATGAATTGCCCCGATAAACCAGACCACGTGCACTTGGTGCTAAAAATACAGAAAAGATGCGAAGTGGTAAACAAAAGGCTAGGTCCCCCCAAAACGCTGAGGTCTGCAGCCTGTATAAATCATTCCTGTTTGCATAGTCTGTTCTGGTTTTGCCCCCTTGCAGTGGGGGGAGGAAGATCAGAAGTTCCCTTTCAGCAGATTAGGCTACTCTAGCCCAGTCTTGTCTCTGGCAAAGCAGGTGTCCGTCTCTGAGCCCTGATCCGTCTCCCTAAGGACCTCCGGAAAGCACAGGAGCCCCGTCCCCTGAGAGACTTCTTAATTTCGGCATTTCTGGGATTTCACCAGGCAGCACCTCTCTGAACCAAATCTTTACAAGCCTGAGGGCTAGAAACTTGCTGCCTTCGTTTATGCATTGCATTTATATCCCAGCTTCTTCCTTCCTAGGAGCTCAAGGTGGGGCCCAAAGATCTCCTTGTTTTACCCTCAACAACAACACTGTGAGGTAGGACAGGCTGAGAGCGGCAGTGATGAACCCCCCCCCCCTCCAAGGCCACCACCTAGTAGAAGTCATGGCCGAGTGGCGATTTGAACCCTGGTCTCTGCCAGGCCCTGGCCCAATACTCTCACCACACTGGTTCTTTGATAAAAGTTTGCAGAGATTCTTGGGCGGCCGAATTTCGCACCCAGTACCAAATCCCATGCGTTGGTTTTTTCCCCCTGAGAACAGTTGTGTTCCCCCAAGCTGTCATTCGTTTTAAAATGCACCCTTTAAAAATGGGTTGGGGAGGGAAAGTTATTGGGTTGCTTTTGTTTTTAATTATGTATTTTGTGTTACTATATTGTTATTTTATGTTGTAACCGCCCAGAGATCTGTGGTTATAGGGTGGTAGAGACGGGGGTGGCGCTGTGGTCTAAACCACTGAGCCTAGGGCTTGCCAATCAGAAGGTCGGCAGTTCGAATCCCCGCGACGGGGTGAGCTCCCGTTGCTCTGTCCCTGCTCCTGCCAACCTAGCAGTGCGAAAGCACACCAGTGCAAGTAGATAAAGAGGTACCACTGCGGCAGGAAGGTAAACAGCGTTTCCGTGTGCTCTGGTTTTCGTCACGGTGTCCTGTTGCGCCAGAAGCAGTTTAGCCCTGCTGGCCACATGACCTGGAAAGCTGTCTGTGGACAAATGCCGGCTCCCTCGGCCTGAAAGCAAGATGAGCGCCGCAACCCCATAGTCGCCTTTGACTGGACTTAACCGTCCAGGGGTCCTTTACCTTTTTTACCTATAGGGCGGTGTAGAAATTTTAATAATAATAATAATAATAATAATAAACAATTCATTTTGTTATCTCATGGGAGAACTTAACTGTGGAAAGAATGAGGTCTGGACTTGCCACCCTACGGCAGCAAATGTCCCAGGTATCCCTCCCGCCAAGTGATGCTAAAGGAAATTTACCATATTTTTTGCTCTATAAGACTCACTTTTTCCCTCCTTAAAAGTAAGGGGGAATGTGTGTGCGTCTTATGGAGCGAATGCAGGCTGCGCAGCTATCACAGAAGCCAGAACAGCAAGAGGGATTGCTGCTTTCACTGTGCAGCGATCCCTCTTGCTGTTCTGGCTTCTGAGATTCAGAATATTTTTTTCCTTGTTTTCCTCCTCCAAAAACTAGGTGCGTCTTATAGAGCGAAAAATACGGTGATAAGTTGCCATTCCTATGATCCCATCCATGGAGCTCACCCATGCTTTCACACAATCCATATTTTGACTGTACTTTGCATCGATTAATTCTCCCGGGTCTGAGAGCTTCTCTCCTTGTTCTGCCACTGTGCCCTGTTAAAAGGCAGTGTCCCATGAACCAGATCTTATCAGGGGCACAGAAAATCCAGAGAGGTTTGCTCCGCTTCCTAAACCACACTAAATGCACACCTCAATCTGGATCTTAATATTTATGGACAAACCCAGGTGCGAGAGAGTTGAGCAGAGAAGAAAACCACAGCTTCTCCGTCAACCGGGCATCGTTGTACGACGCCGATCGAACGTGCTCACAGGTCTCCGAGGACACATGGCAGCTTATGGCACGATGCCTTTGCTTGCAAAGCGAAATGACTTAAGCGTCAAATGTAATTAAATAGACATTTGGTGCTTATGGGGAGGGTGGCTGAATATCGATTGCTGCTTCTTGTATAAATTAGTGAAAACAATGAAAATGTTTGGATTCCAACCAAACCAACCGCGCCTGGAATTGCTCCTGATCTGTCCAACTCCAGCGACCGAGAGGGAGAGAGAGAATTCCCTACGAGAAGCCAAGTTGCAGGGAACCAGGCAGAGGGCCTTCTCGGTAGTGGCACCCGCTCTGTGGAACGCCCTCCCACCAGATGTCAAAGAGAAGAACAACTACCAGACTTTTAGAAGACCTCTGAAGGGAAGACCTGTTTAGGGAAGCTTTTAATGTTTAATAGGTTATTGTATTTTAGTGTTCTGTTGGAAGCCGCCCAGAGTGGCTGGGGAAACCCAGCCAGATGGGCGAGGTATAAATAATAATATATTATTATTATTATTATTATTATTATTATTATTATTATTATTATTGCCGTCCTCTTTCCCCAGGTCCACAAGGCCAGGAAGCACCTCTGAGAAGTGTCCCTTGCACCAGCCCAGCTGATTAGGTGCCACCACGGCAGAAGGCAGCACCCAGCTCCATCCCATGGGGGCCTCGCCGCACACCGATTCCAGGAACCTCCTCGCGATGGCCAGCCCGGCCCTGCGGACGTCCTGCTCCTGGTCCCGCAGACCCCTGTCCTGAGCCGGGGACCCAGCGCCGCCCGGGCTGTCCGCAGCCCGCTTCCTTGAGGATGTGCAACGCGACGCTGGTGAGTTGCCACGTGGACTCCAAGATCGACCACCTCTTCCCTCCGGCGCTGTACATCGCCGTCATCACGGTGGGCCTGCCCACCAACTGCCTGGCCCTGTGGGCTGCCTACCTGCAGGTGCGCCAGAAGAACGAGCTTGGGCGTCTACCTGATGAACCTCTCCGTGGCCGACCTGCTCTACATCGCCACGCTGCCGCTGTGGATCGACTACTTCCTGCACCACGACAACTGGATCCATGGGCAGCAGTCCTGCAAGGTCTTCGGCTTCATCTTCTACACCAACATCTACATCAGCATCGCCTTCCTGTGCTGCATCTCGGTCGACCGCTACCTGGCCGTGGCGCACCCTCTGCGCTTCGCCCGCTTCCGCAGGGTCAAGACGGCCGTGGCCGTCAGCGCCACGGTGTGGGCCATCGAGATCGGGGCCAACTCGGCGCCGCTGTTCCACAACGAGCTCTTCCACGACCGCTACAACCACACCTTCTGCTTCGAGAAGTACCCCATGGAGGAGTGGGTGGCGTGGATGAACCTCTACCGGGTCTTCATCGGGTTCCTCTTCCCGTGGACGCTGATGCTGTTCTCCTACAGGGGGATCCTGCGCGCCGTTCGGGGGAATATCTCCACCGAAAGGCAGGAGAAGGCCAAGATCAAGCGCCTCTCGCTCAGCCTCATCGTCATCCTGCTCTTCTGCTTCGCCCCGTACCACCTCCTCCTCCTCTCGCGCAGCGCCGTGCACCTGAGCAAGCCCTGCGACTGCGGCTTCGAGGAGACGGTCTTCGTGGCCTACCACACGGCGCTGGCTTTCACCAGCCTCAACTGCGTGGCCGACCCCATCCTGTACTGCTTCGCCAACGAAGGGGCCCGGGGCGACGTGGCCAAGGCCCTCTCCACCTTGCTGCGCTTCCTGGCCAGCTCCAAGCCCCGAGAGATGGCCAACGCCTCCCTCACCCTCGACACCCCTCTCTCCTCCAAGAAGAGCAGCTTCTGCCGGCAGCCGCTGGCGCTCCCCATGCCCCCCTCGCAGGGGGCCGCGGGAGACGAGGAGCTCCAGATGAAGATACTGACTTTCGAACGCTGAACGCTCGGAGCTGCGTCCAGACGACGCAGAGGCCCCGCTGGCAACTCGCCGGGGCAGGTGGCCGACGGATATACTATCGGACCTAACAATAAAATGATAATATTATTATTATAATAACTTAAAACGTGCCAGCACATTTCTGCCCACGCTGCGAGATGCATTGCAGGGGGTTGGCCTAGACCAGGCATCCCCAACCTGCGGCCCTCCAGATGTTTTGGCCTACAACTCCCATGATCCCTAGCTAGCAGGACCAGTAACCATCATCATCATCATCATCATCATCATCATATATTTATACCCCGCCCATCTGGCTGAGTTTCCCCAGCCACTCTGGGCGGCTTCCAATCGAGTGTTAAAAACAATACAGCATTAAATATTAAAAACTTCCCTAAACAGGGCTGCCTTCAGATGTCTTTTACAGAGAAGATAACTGCTTATTTCCTTCACATCTGAAGGGAGGGCGTTCCACAGGGCGGGTGCCACTACTAAGAAGGCCCTCTGTCTGGTTCCCTATAACCTCATTTCTCACAATGAGGGAACCGCCAGAAGGCCCTCGGCGCTGGATCTCAGTGTCCGGGCTGAACGATGGGGGTGGAGACGCTACTTCAGGTATACAGGACTTGAGGCCGTTTAGGGCTTTAAAGGTCAGCACCAACCCTTTGAATTGTGCCCAGAAACGGACTGGAAGCCAATGCAGATCTCTCAGGACCGGTGTGATATGGTCCCAGCAGCCACTCCCAGTCCCCAGTCTAGCTGCCACATTCTGGATTAGTTGCAGTTTCCAGGTCACCTTCAAAGGTAGCCTCACATAGAGCGCATTGCAGTAGTCAGGGATGATGGGAATTGTGGTCAGGGATGATGGGAATTGTAGTCTCAAAACATCTGGAGGGCCAAAGGTTTGGGGTGCCTGGGCTGGACCATTATTTCCCAATTTCTCCGGCTGTTTTGGGACTACAGTTCCCATCATCCCTGACCACTGGTCCTTCTAGCTAGGGATGATGGGAGTTGTAGTCCAAAAACAGCGGGAGACCCAAGGTTGGGAAACTCTGGGCTAGGTGACCCGTGGGGTCCCTTCCAACTTCCTGCGATTCTATTAACAATACCTAGCGTCTGCGTAGTGCTTTGCTGGAGAATTCAGAGCACCTCCCTTCTTGGTGGCCCTAGCACAAAAACCCTGTAAGAAAAGTGAGCATTGAAGGCGCAGGTGGTGACGGCAGGTGTGCTGTGGCTGAGAAGCAGCAGCTTGCCTAAGGTAAGATTCGAAAGGATGTTTTAGGACACTGGAGCCAGCAACGATTCTGAACACCACACAAGGGGAGAGCTGCTCCTGTGTTCGAATCATGCTTAAAGGTTTCCCATTAGGGCACCTGGCCTGTGAAACGCATTTCAGCACATTCCTTCCCTATCCCTTTTGGCTCACGGTTTCATATTGTTGTTGTTTAGTCGTTTAGTCGTGTCCGCCTCTTCGTGACCTCTGGACCAGAGCACGCCAGGCACTCCTGTCTTCCACTGCCTCCCCCAGATTGGTCAAACTCATGCTGGTAACCTCGAGAACACTGTCCCACCATCTCGTCCTCTGTCGTCCTCTTTCCCAACATCAGGGTCTTTCCCAGGGAGTCTTCTCTTCTCATGAGGCGGCCAAAGTCTTGGAGCCTCATCTTCACGATCTGTCCTTCCAGTGAGCACTCAGGGCTGATTTGCTTCAGAATGGAGAGGTTGGATCTTCTTGCAGTCCATGGGACTCTCAAGAGTCTCCTCCAGCACCATAATTCAAAAGCATCATATTATAAGACGGCTTAAGTACTGGAAGACACCCCTGCCGTTCTTTAGAGAGCATGCAAGTATATTTGCAGGGCTTGCAAAGAACTCCAAAATACCCACGGTTATTTGGGGGGATTGCAAAATACCTCGAAAGTTCTTGGAAGGTGCGAGCCGTAACTGGTCGCTAGGCTGCCTCGATGCCCCTGGAATGGCAGGCTGGAAGCCACCATGAAATCCTGTCCCGTTTGTTCTTTGCAAAGGCACTTGAGTCAGGGGTGGGCAGAGACAAAGATGGAAATGGAGGGGAGTAGTTAAACAAAACAGTAGGAGAAAACGGCCCATGGGATCCTTTTGCGGCACCAGAGACCCAAGCAAAACACACATGTCACTTCATTCTTCCCCCTCCCGGTTTCCCATCTCCAAATCACAAGAAGAGGCCAAAGGCCTGGCGTTTACGGATACTAATGAGCAGAGAAAGCTCCTTGGGGACTATGAGAAATCAGCCAAAGTCCACCCGCTCTGTGTTTCAGCACAGGCCGGGATTTAGAACTGGGCGCATCTCGGAGCTATCTGAGCAGCGGGTTGATTCTGAAATAAACAAGAGGGGCTGAGGCTGGGGTTTGGCTTGACTGTTATACCCTCTCAGGTGCCTGGGAGCTGGCTGTGGCTCCCACATGGGGAGAAGAGACCCCCAGCCTGTCCTCAGGCGCTCTTGTTATGCCCCGAAGGGAGGCTGATTGCCAATATCCAAGGTTGCATGAGAAAGCTGACACTCTTTCTGGGTTCCTATTGTAGTTTGAAATAAGGCCCTTTTAAGGAAGAGTGAGAACGTGGCCTATATTCTCAGGGGTGAGATGTGGCTGTCAAACAGCGTCGGAGATTATAAATATGGAATAGGGGGAGAGCAACTCCTCTAGAGAACCACAGTTATGGCATTAAGAAGGTTTAATTCTTTTTGTACTGGTAGCCGCAAGTCTCTTGTTGTTTAGTTGTTTAGTCGTGTCTGACTCTTCGCGACCCCATGGACCAGAGCACGCCAGGCACTCCTGTCTTCCACTGCCTCCCACAGTTTGTTCAAACTCATGCTGGTAGCTTCAAGAACACTGTCCCACCATCTTGTCCTCTGTTGTCCCCTTCTCCTTGTGCCCTCCATCTTTCCCAACATCAGGGTCTTTTCCAGGGAGTCTTCTCTTCTCATGAGGTGGCCAAAGTATTGGAGTCTCAGCTTCAGGATCTGTCCTTCCAGTGAGCACTCAGGGCTGATTTCCTTCAGAATGGAGAGGCTTGGATCTTCTTGCAGTCCATGGAGTCTCCTCCAGCACCAGAATTCAAAAGCATCAATTCTTTGGTGATCAGCCTTCTTTATGGCCCAGCCTTCTTTATGGCCCAACTTCCATACATCACTACTGGGAAAACCATAGCCGCAAGGCTAGTGATAGCGTATCACTGGAAATCCCAGGCGGAGATACCTCTTGAGATGTGGTGGAATAATATTTGGGATATAGCTGGTTCAGAATGACTGACTGGGCTTGGGAAAATTGCAAAAGGGGTTGTGATGGAAAACACCTTTGACGAAACCTGGTCTCCCTTCTTTCCGTACATAAAGGAAAAGTAAAGCTCTCCCACTAGTCTCACAATCCCCAGGATGCCATAAATTTAATGCTATGTTCTTTTCTCTGTTGAGACTGTGTTGTACAGTGGTGCCTTGGTTTAAGAACTTAATCTGTTCCGGAAGTCCGTTCTTAAACCAAAGCGTTCTTAAACCAAGGTGTGCTTTCCCATAGCAGCAGGGGACTCAATTTACAAATGAAACACACTCGAGAGGAAGCAGAACATGTTCTGCTTCCAAGGCAAAGTTCACAAACCAAAACACCTACTTCCAGGTTTGCAGCATTCTTAAATCCAAGTTGTTCATAAATTAAGCTGTTCTTAAACCAAGGTTTAGGGGTCCTCTGACTGTTAGGTCCAGTCGTGACCGACTCTGGGGTTGCGGCGCTCATCTCGCTTTACTGGCCAAGGGAGCCGGCGTACAGCTTCCGGGTCATGTGGCCAGCAGGACTAAGATGCTGCTGGCAAACCAGAGCAGCGCATGGAAACGCCATTTACCTTCCCACCGGAGTGGTACCTATTTATCTACTTGCACTTTGACGTGCTTTCGAACTGCTAGGTTGGCAGGAGCAGGGACCGAGCAACGGGAGCTCACCCCGTCGCGGGGATTCGAACCGCCGACCTTCTGATCGGCAAGCCCAAGAGGCTCAGTGGTTTAGACCCACAGCGCCACCCGCGTCCCAAAACCAAGGTACCACTGTATAATAATTTAAGTTCTAGAGTTATGGGAGCAGGAGAGAAACTTTTATTTATCCATGCAGCCGTGCATTAATTTTATAAGCTTATGCCCTGTCGCCTCTTCCCTGGCGTTCCTCTAAAGAGTTTCCCCTCAATGAAAAGTTGTGCGTAAGAAGCGTTTCCCGCACCCCCCTGCCAAGGGAAATTCCCTGCACATAAGAATAATTTTTACTTTGCTCATAGCAGCTCAGGAATCCCCGCCTGCCAGCCAGGCTTAACCCCAGGAGTAGCCGCATTTCCACACAGGGCCAGCGATCCTGCAATAAACAGCTACTTTCGCCACCACCCTCTGCTCCTGGCTGCCTCTTGGCTTGGGATAAAACCAAACATGGTATGCTGCGCTGAATGCTTTCAGAAATTCCCACACCTCCTGGGATTAACCTCTACCTCCAGCGATGGGTCTTGGAGCCTAAGACTGCCCCACTGATGACTCACTCCATGTTCCAGGAATGCATGGAGAAGAAAAGAGAGGGTCATCTGTGACGTCCCAAGATGGGAGCAGCCTAATGTCAGGGTTTAACAAGAGGCGAGGGCTGCTGAGTCAGTGGCCTTTCTGGGAATAAACAGGAAGAGGCCAAAGGTGAAAGCGAGTGGAAATACCCACGGACCTCCCGACAATTCCAGCAGGCTGAGACCAAACAGTCGGACAGGCAGCCTCAGTGGGCTCCCCTTCGTTGGAGGTTTTTCAGCAGAGGCCGGGTGGCCATCTGCCAGGGATTCTTTAGCGCTGATTGCTGCGTTGCGCGGGGTTGGTCTAGATGACCCTCGGGGTCCCTTCCTGCTCTACAGTTCTGGGATTCTATAACTGATCGAAGTATGCCCACATGGGCAAGGAGTGAGGGATGGGGATGGCCCATTGCCACTAGCCAGCCCGTGTGGTGGTGTGGTTGGAGTGCTGGCCTAGTACCTGGGAGAAATAATAATAATAATAATAATAATAATAATAATAATAATAATAATAATATGTTATTTGTACCCCGCCCATCTGGCTGGGTCTCTCCAGCCACTCTGGGCAGCTTCCAACAAAGATTAAAAATACATCAAAATATCACACATTAAAAACTTCCATGAACAGGGCTGCCTTCAGATGTCTTCTAAATGTCAGGTAGTTGTTTATCTCTTTGACATCTGGTGGGAGGGCGTTCCATAGGGCGGGCGCCACCACCGAGAAGGCCCTCTGCCTGGTTCCCTGTAACTTGGCTTCTTGCAGGGAGGGAACCGCCAGAAGGACCTCGGAGCTGGACCTCAGCTGAACGATGGGGGTGGAGACGCTCCTTCAGGTCTACTGGGCCTTTGAGGCCGTTTAGGGCTTTAAAGGTCAACACCAACACTTTGAATTGTGCTCGGAAACGTACTGGGAGCCAATGTAGGTCTTTCAAGACTGGTGTTATGTGGTCTCGGCGGCCGCTCCCAGTCACCAGTCTAGCTGCCGCATTCTGGATTAGTTGCAGTTTCCGGGTCACCTTCAAAGGTAGCCCCACGTAGAGCCAAGCGGGAGAAACCGGGGTTCATATCCCCACTCAGCCACGAAGCTCACTGGTCGTGTGTCACTGTGTCTCAGCCTAACCTCCCTCGCAGGGTAACGGGAGGGGAAGAACCACGCACACCCACTTAATCTCCTGGGGAAAGGCAGAATGTAAATGTAATGATGATGATGATGATCAACTTCTTCTTCTGAGAGATTTGCAGCCCCAGCGAGAACAGTTCCTCAAGTCTTTTTTGGACTTTTTGAGAGTGGATTCCAGAGTGGGATGCTTTCACTGCTCCTGTTTATTTAGTTTCCTCTCGCTCGGCCTAAATCTCTTGATCCCTTTCCCGCTCGAGCTGCTGGGACGCATGCCGGATCTCTGGGGCCATGAGAGGACACGGTTCCCATGTGTTCAGGCAGGGAAAGGAAACGACAGACCCTCTGGTTTCCCACTGGGGCTCGGGTTCCAAAATCTCCTTTCCATTCCTTCCCCGCTATTGCTTAATCAATACAAGACTACCCCTGGGCACAACCTGAAGGCAATTCGGTTGTGCCCAGAGACCCTGGCTGGGCTGTTATGGTACTGACCTCTTGGGAGCAGCTCCCTGGTCCTGCCCTTGGTTCCATGCCTTAGTTTCTCTCTCCGAAAACCCCGTTCTGCTCTAACGAGAAGGATGAGCCAAGAAGGCAGCATCTGAGGCAGGCCAAACAGCAGGAAAGTCCTTTAATTCTTGTGTTCACACGGTCCGGGTGACCCTGCGGGAAGGAACGAGCTTGGGGTCAGTCTCCTGGCCAGGCAAAACACAGCAAACCCCCTCACAGCAACTGAGGAGCCAAAGAGGTTCTAACTTATTCAGGGGAGGATTATGAAAGTTTCATTCCTCTTCGTAAATCTCTTAGCATGCTTAGGGTCACAATGACCTAAGAAGAGCCTGGCTGCTGAATCAGGCCAATGGCCCATCTTAATAATAATAATAATAATAATAATAATAAATTTTATTTATACCCCGCCCTCCCCGGCCAGAGCTGGGCTCAGGGTGGCTAACACCAATAAAATTTCAGTAAAAACATAATAAGAAGAAAAGAAAAAATTATCATGTTCTCACAGTAGCCAGTCAGATGCCTCAATGGAAAACCCACAAGTGGGACACTCAAGTCCCCTAATTTATATGTATTAAACTGTCTAATCTCCCTTCATTAGCACTTACGTAACTGATTTTGTAAACCCGTGAGTTAGGTAAAGGGACCCCTGACCATTAGGTCCAGTCAAGAGCAACTCTGGGGTTGCGGCGCTCATCTCGCTTTACTGGCCGAGGGAGCCGGCATACAGCTTCCGGGTCATGTGGCCAGCATGACTAAGCCGCTTCTGGCAAACCAGAGCAGCACATGGAAACGCTGTGTACCTTCCCGCCAGAGTGGTACCTATTTATCTACTTGCACTTTGACGTGCTTTCGAACTGCTAGGTGGGCAGGAGCTGGGACCTGTCGTGGGGATTCAAACCACCAACCTTCTGATCGGCAAGCCCTAGGCTCTCTGGTTTAGACCCCAACGCCACCCGTGTCCTTACTCAGCCCAAAACTCAGAGATACAGGGTTAAGGTTATCGCATATATCACAGGCACACTGCATTGACAGAAGTCACATGCACACAAAAAGGGTCTATTTACAGTATGAAATTAATGAAATTAACTACAAAAATGTACTAAACTTAAAAATTGTGAATGCAAAGGCCAAAGTAAAAAACTTAGCGTAATCAGATGACCTGGGATGGCTCAGTTGGTAGAGCACGAGACTATGAATCTCAGGGTTGCGGATTTGAGCACCGCATTGGGCAAAATAAACCTGCATGACCCTAAACTAGATGACCCTCATGGCCCCTTTGAACTCGACAAAATCTTTGAGTCTATGAAAATATGACAAAGACCTATTCAGACATTCCTTAAATTTTCCCTCAGCTATCAAGGGATCAAATATACCATCCCAGGGATCAAACGCCAGACTATTTAGAAACACAGTTGCAGGGACTTTTGATTCGGAACACAGATATCGCTAGATGCATACCAAGCCCGGCCAAAGTCTTTGCTCTCTGCTGGACCTGCAACGCTACAGGACCCAAGAGGTGCACCTGAGGTTATCTGGAGGCTTCTGTTGCAAACGGTGCTTGGACTTGGGACCTCAGATTTAACTCAGTAAACCAGCTCCCAGAAACCCTTGGCTGGGTCAGTCTGGCTGCAGCCCTCCCATAATAAGGTCAAGAGATCTCGAAGAGAAGAGAAATCGAGGCGTCTGGTCAGGAAGGCTAATGGCTGCTCAGCTCTCCCAGAGAGGAAGGTTCTTCTCCTTGCCTTCTCAGGTTCCATCGTTTTGCACCATTAGACCCGGCGACTCTACGCAACGCTGAATGAAATTGGGGAGTGGGGCCAGGGTGACTTTTTTTTAACGATACGATAATCTTTGTTGTCATTGTCCCATACAGAACAACAAAATTGGAAAAAACCACATCAGACATTCAAAAGCTGCTATCCCAGCCTGGTTAACCCCCTAAAAACTCCCCCATAATTACCGTAAATACAATGTACTCTCCCAGAGAGTACACTTACACTGCGTTTATAACCAAAATCACATTTGGATAAAAACTGTTTCTCAGGCAGCTAGTCCTAGTCTTTATAACCCTGTACCTTCTTCCAGAAAGGCCCGAATAGTTAAAGCTATGGTTTTCCCAGTAGTGATGTATGGAAGTGAGAGCTGGACCATAAAGAAGGCTGATCGCCAAAGAATGGATGCTTTTGAATTATGTTGCTGGAGGAGACTCTGGAGAGTCCCATGGACTGCAAGAAGATCAAATGCATCCACTCTTAAGGAAATCAGCCCTGAGTGCTCACTGGAAGGACAGATCGTGAAGGTGAGGCTCCAGTACTTTGGCCACCTCATGAGAAGAGAAGACTCCCTGGAAAAGACACTGATGCCGGGAAAGATGGAGGGCCCAAGGAGAAGGGGACGACAGAGGACGAGATGGCTGGACAGTGTTCTCGAAGCTACCAGCATGAGTTTGACCAAACTGTGGGAGGCAGTGGAAGGCAGGAGTGCCTGGCGTGCTCTGGTCCAGGGGGTCACAAAGAGGCGGACACGACTAAATGACTAAACAACAACCTTCTTCCAGAAGGCAGAAGCTGAAAGAGATCGTTTCCGGGGTGCGCACTATCCCTGCAGCTTTTTTATGGCACCTGGAAGTGTAGATTTGATCCAAGGTGGGAAGAGTGAACCCAATTCTTCTCTCCGCAGTCTTTATAACCCTGGACTTGCGGGTGCTGCAGGCCTTTGCCCCTTAGCCTTTGAGGTGAACAGGGGAAGTTCTTCACTAGAAAGCAACTTCATGCCAGCTTCACCTGTTGAATTGCTGACATAATAATAATGATGATGATGATGATATTATTATGCCCTGCCCATCTGGCTGGTTTCCCCACATAGGTAGGAGGAGGAGGAGCGTCAGGGAGGGGGTTTCCCAGAACAGGAAGGTAGCAATGCGCCCCTGGGTCTCTGCACCGCCTTCCTGGGGGCGAGAAAGGGGAGGAGCCTCCTGGCACGTGGCCTCCGCGTGGCAGCGGGAGTTTTTCCCCGCCAAAAACCCGGGAGGGAGCGGGAGAGGGCGGAGCGAGCCGTGATTGGCTGAGGCGGATGACGGCCAGCATTGGAGGGCGGAAGTGCACCACAGATATAGTAAAAAGGGAAGAGTGACACAAGAGCACTGACGGGAGAGAGAAACTGAAATGCTCGACCGGCTACGATTGCCTAAAAGGGCAGCCGCGCTTATATTCCTAAAAGCAGGCCGTTTTCAGACGAAGAACAGAAATTGGAAAAGAGCAGGAGCGCCTCTTTCCCTTCCTGTGGTGCAGCTTATTTCTCCAGGGCGGGGGGAGTTGCTGCCGCCCAACCCCTTCAATAAGGAGATTCCGGGTTTCTCCTTTGGCTTTCGAAGGCGCCCGCAGTGGCTCCTGCCCCGGGGCGAGGAAAGGGCGACACATAGACCAGTTTCTAACATGAACCCGGAAGTTCCCTCTACGGACAGTTAAAGGGTGATTCTACATTTTTAACTCTGTGACCTCAGCCTCTGGGCGGCATCAAGGTCCTATATTACATGCGCAGCCGCAGTCGGCGTTGTTCCAACGCCCCTCTCTATCCCCTGCCATCTCTATGGCAATAGGAGCGGCTTCCTTCCTTCCGGTCTGTGCCGGAAGTGTACGTCAGGGCTGCGTTTCGGAGCGCTGCTTTAAAGGCTGGAAAACAATTCTTTCGCTTTTTATAAACCAGAAATATATATATATTTCTATATATATATTATATATATATATATAATTCAAACAAACCACAGTAAAAACAGAAAGCACACATGTAATTAACATATTCAAAATATTATATCCCACTTCGCCTTATTAGCATATTTATGACAAGGAAAAATCCAAATATATTCCAGCTCGCCTTATTAGCATATTCATGAGAGGAAAAAACAATATTATTCAGCGTTGCCTCATTAGCCTGCGCCCACGTGTTACCTCACCCGTTGTGTCATGCGGGGGGGAATATATTAGCATATTAATAAGGCCTATTTGCATACGGGATACGTAGGCGTGCGTCTGCGAGTTGACGTCGCGGACGCACGCCGGGGAGGTCGGGCGTGACGTGCGCGCTGACGTCACCGCGGCCCGGCGTCTGCGTGCGCCGCGCTCGGCGCGGGGGCCGCTGGGAGCGCGAGGATGGTGGCCGGCGCCTTCCCGATTGCCAAGCTGCTCTACCTGGGCGTCCGGCAGCTCTCCAAGCCCCTGGCCGCGCGCATCAAGGACGGGGCCCGCGCCAGCCCCTTCTTCCGCCAGTACATCTGCGGGCCCCCCGCGCAACGTGAGTCAGGCGGCGGCAGCGCCCCCCGCGATAGGGGGAGTCTCCCGTCAGGGTTGAAAGGGAAGCCAATGGGAGCGAGGGGTGGGCGGGCGCGCGAGGGGAGTAGGCCAATAGGGAGGTGAGGGGGGCGGGCCTCCGAGGAGCCGCGGGCCAATCGGGTGGGCGGAGAGGCTACGGCGGTGACATTGAGAGGTCCCCTTCCCGGGCGGCACGTGGGGAAGCGGGGGAGGAGGCGGAGCCCCCTGACCCAGTGGCCGGGAATTTTATTAATACATTTATTAATGTATTAATTTAATTATTAATTAATTTTATTCAATAAAATTTGTACAGCGCTGGGTTGTTTGGAAAAACCACCAAAGCGGTTTACAAAGAGAACAAAGCAGTGAAAACAAAGCAGTGAAAAGTTAAAAACCAAGTTAGAAATCCAAACTTAAATTCATCAATAGACTGGAAACAGACACTAGAACTCACACCCAACTTTCTATGCCTCCGGACAGGCTTGGCTGAGCAAAGGGGATCTTTAGCCGCCGGGCGTCCACAGGCCATAGCTGTCAACTTACAGATTTGAAAATAAGGGGCCAGCAGCCAAAATAAGGGATTTTGCTATTGTAAAGAGTTGCATACATTGGTAGGATTGACAGATGCTGTCAATCCGGCATGAGGCGCCGCCCTTCTGCGTCCCTCCCCATCCCCTCCTCTTCCTCCTCCCTCAGGCCGCCTCCTCAGCTGCCACCACCGCTGCGCACGTGCACGCTCTCTCTCGTGGCGGACGACCCCAAGCGGCTGCTTCCCTCCTGAGCCGGGCGAGCGTGAAACCCGGGAAATTTAAGGGACATCATCAATAAGGGACACGGCGCTGGGATAAGGGAGTTTCCCACCAAATAAGGGACGGTTGACAGCTATGCCACAGGCAGGGAGTTCCCAAGTGTGAGTGTTGGGAGGCAGTTGGAGGATGGATGGTGGCTAACAGATTGAGGTTGAATCCTGACAAGACAGAAGTACTGTTTTGGGGGGACAGGCAGTGGGTTGGTGTAGAGGACTCCCTGGTCCTGAATGGGGCAACTGTGTCCCTGAAGGACCAGGTGCGCAGCCTGGGAGTCATTTTGGACTCACAGCTGTCCATGGAGGCGAAGGTCAATTCTGTGTCCAGGGTGGCTGTTTATCAGCTCCATCTGGTACGCAGGATGAGACCCTCCCTGCTCGCGGACTGCCTCGCCAGAGTGGTGCATGCTCTGGTTATCTCCCGCTTGGACTACTGCAACGCGCTCTTCGTGGGGCTACCTTTGAAGGTGACCCGGAAATTACAACTAATCCAGAATGTGGCAGCTAGACTGGTGACTGGGAGCGGCCGCCAGGACAACATAACACCGGTCCTGAAAGATCTTCATTGGCTCCCAGTACATTTCCGAGCACAATTCAAAGTGTTGGTGCTGACCTTTAAAGCCCTAAATGGCCTCGGTCCTGTATACCTGAAGGAGTGTCTCCACCTCCATCATTCTGCCCAGATACTGAGGTCCAGCTCTGCTGAAAAAAATTGCTGACCCCTGACTTTTTATGGTTCATGGGCATCTGTTCCATTAAATGATGCTTTGCAGGAGGTGTCCTGCCCACCCTTCCTGCCCCGGAGGACAGAAATAGGATCATAGGATCGTAGACTCGGAAGGGACCCTAAGTGTCACAGCAATGCAGGAATCATCAAACTCACATTTAATCACTTTATCCACAAGAATATCCTCAATAACTGTTCTCTGTAAATAGTAAAAGTCCATTCTTAACTGGTCTGCTCAGACAATTACCTTGAAGCTAGTGCGACTGGTTCAGGAGTCTCTCTCTCAGACAAGATGGCAGGTTTGAAAGCAACTGCACAAGCATTGTTATAGTCTTGGATCATGCCGCCTTTTCCCTGAAATAAAAAAGTCCCAAACACTGCAGCATTTCCTCATAGGGGTGTCCTGAGAGATCTGCATTGGCTCCCTGTCCATTTCCAAGCACAATTCAAAGTGTTGGTGCTGACCTTGAAAGCCCTAAACAGCCTCAAAGGCCCTGTATACCTGAAGGAGCGTCTCCACCCCATTGTCCAGCCCAGACACTGAGGTCCAGCTCTGAGGGCCTTCTGGCGGTTCCCTCATTGCAAGAAGTCAAGTTACAGGGAACCAGGCAGAGGGCCTTCTCGGTGGTGGCACCCACCCTGTGGAATGCCGCCCCTCAGATGTGAAGGAAATATGCAGCTATCCTATCTTTAAAAGGCATCTGAAGGAAGTTTTTAATATTTAATGCTGTATTTTTAACACTCGATTGGGAGCCACCCAGAGTGGCTGGGGAAGCTCCGCCAGATGGGCAGGGTATAAAAAAATTATTAATTATTATTATTATTATTATTATTATTATTATGGACTCTCTTCATCTCCTTGATTGTTTCGGCTGCCCTTTTCTGAACCTTTCTGAACTCCACAGTGTCTGCCATGGTGAAAATTGGGGTGTTATTTTTATCCATGACATTTGCATACTGCCCTTCCATCAACAGATCTCAGCGCAATTTGCAACATTAAAATTACAATTGACCCCCCCCCCAAAAAAAATATACCCTCCAGGCCTCTCTTGGAGGAAACACACACAAAAAGGCCTCAGAGGATGACCTCAGGGTCGAGGTAGGAAATATGGGAGAAACACACTTTGAAAATTAGTATAAATTAATATGGAGATGGTATTTAACACCAGTCAGATTAAATCAAATAAACAAGGAATATTCCGTGCTATGTTGCCAGGAAACAGGG